CACACACACACACACACACACACACACACACACACACACACACCGGCATCCGTCCGCAGCTGCTGCAGGTCCAGGCAAGTGCAGAAAACACGCACATCCTCCTGTAAGCAAAATGATGATTCAACACGTGCTCCCAGTGAAACTGACCAATAATCTGTGATAATCTAGTAAAACGAGTCAGATTAACACAGCCAGAATAATATTTTTAATCCACAACACAGCAAATGAAACTACCAATTTTAGTCCAAACTTAACAGTTTAAGATATTTTACTGGAAATACTAACAAACAGGATTTTATCGTGTTTTTTGTCTTCACATGTGGACAAATCATGTGACCACGTCATGATAAAAAAAAAAAACATGTTTAAGTCTTGTATTTTATAACTTGGTTACTTAATTGACTTTTCCACTTGTGGAGTTCATGTGTCTTTGTTCCAAATCCAAATGGAGGCATGTTTAAAATAATAATAACAAAAGGCGGGTGGTAATCTAATGTAATGGTTGTGTCTGACTGAGTGTCTGTGTTGGTCTGTCTGTTAGCAAAATTTATCAAGAACCACTGAACATAATTCAATGAAATTCTCAGAAAGTAGTCGCTGCATGAACCTACACAACTGATTAACTTTTGGATTCAACATGATTCAACGTGGCCACCACAGTTTATCAAACTTAACCTAAACAAAAATAACTCAGTAAGAACTCAGTCAACTGTGCACATCTTACACAAACATTTGGTGTGGTTGTAGCTGAGAGTGGTTCTCATTACATACTTTTTGTTTGGACGAGGCCTAATTTAATTTTAATGTTTTTACATGTGAAAACATGATTTCCACATGTAAAATTCATGGGGGTTGAGGGGTTGTAAGAAGAAAATAAAAGCTCATTCAATTGTGAAAACATTAAACTCTGGTTCTCTTCTATGTAAATTAAAAAGCCTGACATGTAATATTAACAACTTATAAAACATACTAATTAGTCAAGTGTAGCACAATATAAACATTTATTATTGTTTACAACAAAACAATTTCACATCTGAGTTGGCTGGGATTATTTTTTTATTCCTGACTGAAGTAAAAATATTTGAAGYGTGGAATAACATCTATTGATAAGCCAGCCTTGTTTCTCTGCACGCCCATCTGTCTGTTTGATTTGCTCCACAACAGCCTTCTTTTTTATTATTACAAAACAGGAAACTGCTCTCCCTGTTTCCTGCTCGGCCCAACTTCACATCCTCAGCCGCTCATGGATACAATTTAACCCCTCCTGGTGCGTTCACTGTGACTCACAGGTGGGGAAGCGAAGGAGGCTGTTTTTCCTGATGAGTTGTGGTCAGCTGGTCATGAGATTTATTGCACTAAAGCACGTGTGTGCAGCAGTTCACAGCAATAAATGAGCCGCATTAAAAGTAATAGCAATAATAAATAGGGCAGTGTCTTTGTTTGTGGCTGATCACTGCAGCAGGAGGGGAATAAAAGAAGCATGATTTTACATATGTATATTTGTTTATAGTCTTAAAGAGTCTCTTTGTAAATGATAAAACATTGAGCGGTATCCCAGAATTACATGTTTCTCTAAAAGAGGATGACAAAAGCCTGCATCCAAAACATTCTTCTTCTTTCTGTCACTTCTTTTTGAAATTTTGATTTTAACCTTTAGGACACTTTAAGGCCAGAAACCAAGCATTTTAAGTGGAGGCCCCGACGGTCTGGAACACTCTCCCGCTCCACAGACTCTTTTAAGAAACAGCTAAAGACATTTTCAGTCAAAGTTTGGTGCTGTATTTCTTTAAAAATGTTTTTAATTATTTTTGTTCTATTTTTTATTGTTTTTACCCATTTTGCTATGAAGCATTTTGTGTTGCTTGTGCCGGTGAAAGGTGTTATAATTTATTTACTGACTTACTTCCTGTTTGATGCTCCACTTTCCTACTGAACATCAGCATTTTGTATTTCCACTGTCAGCAGTCGAGTCAAACAAYAGTTTTCACATCTATAAAAGTAAAAGTTGAGCATTCCTTGGAGGAATGCATTTCGCCTTGTGCCTTATATGTTACAGTTTTCAAATAAGATCTTCTTTTTTTATTTAGCATATTTAGACAACCCTTGAAAACAACACAATTTGATGAGATAGTGTGAGATGTTCCATTCAGWGTGCTACCACAACAAACTAGCTTAACTGTAAAGCTGACTGAGATAGCCATTTGTGTGTTGGCTCACCTTGAACTGAACTGAATCCAGAAGCTAATTAGTTGTAGACGTGCACCTAATGAGTACTTTGTGAAAGTTTGATTAAGATCTTTTTAGTGGTTCATGAGATATTTTACTAACAGATTCAAACACACACAGACACAAGCAAGAAGATTATGGTCCAGCTTTGTGTTTCAGCCGTGGCTGATAAATAGGTCATTGTTGAGGTACAGTGCAGGAGGATGCCTTTGATTGATTCAGACACTCCAATGACCAAACAAACCTGTACATACTGCTCCTGTGAAGCTTTCCTGACCACTAAGCAGTGGCTTTCCCTTTCATAACCACACAGTGATGAATGCACCACACGTACAGGTCAAAAGTCAATCCTCTTCTGCATCAGGCAATCAGTTTGTAGCTAAGGCCGTGTGGCTGTCATTCTTTGATGGTCTCACTGATAATGTCTCAACAACATGGTAAAAAAACTTCAATACTTAGAAAATAAATAAACTTTAGTGCTGATTTTTCCTAAAAGCGGCATTACCGTGCTGTGACCATGGTGAATATTCATCTCATTACTCAAACATTATGTGGCTGCACCTCTGGCCTCGTTTCTGTTGGTTCAATTATCGTGTTTTCATCTTCGGTCAATAAAGGGGAGGAAGATAAATTGTGTTGTGCTGCACCGAGCAAAATGACAGATTCTGCTGAGAAGCATGGATATGAAAACGTTTTAGGATGAGCAGCCAGCCTCTCACGCACACACTTAATCAAAAAGCCTACAGGATAATGTTTGTACTTATGTAAAGATCAAACCAACAATGCACTAGTTTGAGTACTTATTATGTTCTGGTGTTTATCTGAGGCATTTTATATTGTCATAAAATGTGGGAAAATGAACTAAACTCTGTGCAATTGTACAATGTAAACCTTTTTTAAAAGTTGATTCTGTCAGTTATATTAGAGTGGTGTCATGTTTCTTTTCATTTTTAACCATAAGCTGATTTATTTCTTAATAAACAGTCACTTAAAGCAGGTCTTTGTTTGACTGTATTAAAGCGGCCTTAACAAAAAAGGGTAAAGTCAATTGAACATTAATTAAATGTTTAAGTATTTCCAAAATGTGATTTTGCAGGAAGCCATGCTGTTCTGTTGAGATGACCCAAAAGCATTATGATAACAGAAATTTGGTCAGTAATTTGTTTTAAACTAATTTTTTTTGATCTTTTGAAGTGGGGTTGAGGTTATTAACAATTAATATCTTACCTGCTGTAGTTAGCTTTTTGAATGTTCTTAGTTTGGAGTAATCTGGTTGGACAGATGAGCTAATATAAACAACACCCAAAACTAAAGTGGATTGTTCATTTTTAAACAACTTCAAACAAAAAAAAATCATAGAGGGTGATGCAAATATTGTTATAAAATTTCACACTATTGTAAATTTTGTATTGCATGTTTGTTACGGCAGAAATAATGGGATTAGTCAAAGGATAACCCAGGTTGCACAAAATAGTGAAACAGCTGGCTGATGCTGACATTATTTGCTTTTGTAAAAACCCACAGCAAATAACTGGAAAATTCAAAAGTGTAAAGTTTTTTTAAGCGAATGCATTTATTTTAAAACAGTAGTTTCCCACTTAGGTCTTAGTCCTGCTCAGACTAGCTATTAGCTCAGCAATTTGTTCGAAAATAAAATCTTCTCCAAACTTAATGACATTTTTGCATTGTAAGGCCCAGCTCAGCTTGGCCTTATTCGATTCCAGCCTTGGTTTTGTTTGTTTTGAGCAGAGTGCTCAAATTGGGCTGGGATCATCATATCAAAAACTTGCAAATCTTTAAATGATGTAATTTTATTTGYGACACAACTAAAGACAACATTGAGCTTGTGGTACTTCTTTTTGCTCTTTGTGTAATTCCAGACTGTGTGAAACAACAATTAGCCSCAGCAGCCCAGCCTGAACAGAACCAAAAGGTCTCTGGGTTCCAGAAATCAGGCAGGAAGTGGGSCATAACAGCAAATAGGCAGAACCTGAGTTTGAACCCAGGCTAGGTCAGACTGGGCCTTACAATGCAAATATGCCATAAAGCTAGTTTTAAAATAAAGCAATCTACAGCTGGTAAGATATTGATTGTTCATATTGGTTGACCAGAGCCACAGTTTAAACGATTTGAACTATCATTTGAGTAAAAATTTATGTCTATATTTTGCGAAGATTTTTAGAACATGTTGGTTCTGGCCTTTTTCTTAGATTTTAACTACAACAAAAAGTGTTTGACGTCTTCGGATCGAGCAAGAGCATAAATCTTTTGACTGAACCCTAWARGAAATAATAAAATCAAGTAAAGCCTCATTTTTGCTACAGTTTATGACTTCCACAAGTAATTGTTGCCAGCAGTTGAGTCTTTTTTTTTTTCTAAAAAAAAAATATATTTTTTGATTTTGTGAACCTTGTTCATGGCTGTCCAACATGTTAAAGAGCTGTGATTCCTGCAGAAAAACAGGAAAAAACACAGC